ACTCCCATGTGACCTTCCCACAACCTTACCTTTCTGCCTCAGCTCTCCATCCCCACAACTTACCGCTCCACCTTCAGCTGCAAACCCACTCATCTTTTCCATAAACTGTCAACCCCTGTTTCACATTCCTCGTTCCTTCCGTAATCCCTCTGCTTCATTTCAGCCAACTTCTCATGCATATATACAAGATCTCACAATATCTTTTTTTAGTCCCTGTTAACTTATCATTCCATTTGCTTTTCACCACTTCATGCTTGTCATCTTATGCCTACTTCTATTTTCCCATTCTGCTCTATCCTACCTGCCCTCCCCTTTCCCCTCCCTCTTTTTAAAGGTTGCTGTTATGGCATCTCTGCCTTACGAAATGTGCGAGAGTGAGAAGACATTTGACAATCTACATCAAAATAAAGCTGTCACTCCTCTCGTCAGGAGGATTCTCTTTCCTTGGCTGCTGAATGCCAACAGGATTTTCGCTTGCCCTTTACAATCCTGTCCTGCCGATTATTTATTTTTTGGATACTTTACTAAAAGGAAAAATTAGGAGCAAATGTAATGTGGCAATGATCTGAATTATTACAAATAATTTGGCATAAGAGAATGCAGGTATCGTGTATTTTTATGCCTCATTGATATGTAAATAGGGGGAAAAATGTCAGTATATCAAGCTAAATAGTTTGCATTGCAAATATGCTCTAGATAAGAAATCCACGAACGTGCCATAACGGACGTATGGACATTTAAATCCACAGATGTGAAGCAAAACTGAAAAGCCAGACACATCCCCGAAACATTATGAATTAAGCATACACATGGCACACGTGTGCTTTGCGAAACCACGCACGCAAGCACACTAATGACAACGAAAACCAAGCCAGGAATATTATCGGAAATTTAACAACTTCATCAGTGTGCAATGCCAAGCAAAACTCTGCTTGGTGAGCTAAAACCAGCCTGTTGGAAGTTAGAGAAATTTTCCCCAGCCAAGGAGAAAAATCAGAGAAACTCCCAGGCCTGGTTAGCAGACTCGTCTAATCAAAAACAGCAACCAAACATGAGAAAGCATCTTTGTGTCGCCTCATCTTAGTGATTTTCCAATCTCAGGGGAAGGGGAAGGATGATGCAGAGTCGTACTTCTCACATCCCCAGGTTGACACTGCTATGACAAAGCATGCGTATGAGTCACACCTAGTCACCGCGTGAGGAATGCAACCTTAGATTTAACCTGATTCTAAGCAGTGAGGTAACCTAAGTACTGCAGCTGCATGACAAGCACAAGTTCATCAAATTGAGTTAAAATGATACAGCAGAAGACGACATCACCGCGATAAAGTCACTCCTAATGGACCATTAAACGGAAACTCTATAATATAATGTAAGTCTTAAATGGGTAATACGATACAAACAATTTAATCAAGCTTTTAAGCAATGGGAGGTGTGTTTGTAAGAGACAAAATTAGTTTTCCTTACGGCCAAATTACACAATCACCAATAAATTTAAAAAATAAATAAAAAATAAGGCCCAGCAGTCAAAACTGCATCTGTAATTTTGTATAACACAAAATACTGATAGAGGTGTACGGTCCCAAGTGGTGCTTGTAGTCCACTCAACCAGCTGACAGTGTAAAAAGAGGAAATAAATAACATTCATTCATGTCTAGCTACACGTCACGCTCAGTGTGGGTTGCTGCAGTTTAGGAACAAGACTGGTGCGATTTGCTCCTTCCTGTGTGCAGCGCCTTCCAGTAAAGGCAACCTGACAGTGGAACGTGACTACTATAGTCTTAAATACAACTTTAGGCTTCAGGAAGCTGAAGCTTTCAGTCCCCCCCCCCATCGAGAGGAATTAACAGTAGTACATCTGTGCCTGATGTTTCTCGTTAGTAATGCAGTTTTGCATACTCGGCTCATTTTTAGTGTGAGATTAAAAACAAATGCTAACGTGTTTTGTAGAGTGGAGAGAAAAGGAAAAAAAGAAGAAAAAGCAGCAGACGTCAGACGTTTTGCCTCCAGGATGTTAAGTAACCACAGCCGTTGCAAGAGACGAGTGTTTCCGATCTGTTGTGTAGCGACACTCAGCAGCTGAGAGGATGCTGCTTCATGCTCCAAAAGCATGATCACAAATTCACACGTATAGACGGTGACAAACGAGCCCCAAAACAAAATGTTCAAAACAAAGATTTTGAAAGCAAATCGAATGTGCCAAACACCTGCACGTGGCAACCTGCTTTTATTTTTTCATGAGTTAAACTGAGAAAGTGGCCCAACTGGTGAGGAGAAAAGAAAAAAAAAAGCATAACAACACTCTCCTGATTTTATTCTAGTGGTGAACTGTGCAGATGGCTGAACCTGCATCATGTTAAATTAATGATCCCGGGGTTCCATGGAGTAGCCTGGCACTAAAAAAGCCCATAGAGCAGGTTTCCCCTGCAAGGCAAATGAGGTGATGGGTTCATCTATCTATCCTGCCCGGCAGGAGAAAGGCAGTAACCCGGTGAAGCATCTGATGTCTAAATGAAGTGACTCTGTATCTGTGCAGCATGTGAATGTGTGTGTGTACACGTGTGTGTGTGTGGGGTGTGTGAATCTGAGTCATCAGTAAATCCCAGTGGTCTGTTATAGTAATAAGAGTGCACAGGAGCTTCTGTCTAGCACCTCGCTGGCAGAGAGGAGTCAGGTTTCTGGATCAATCGCAGCCGTATCAGTCATCACACAGAATAAAAGAAGTAACAGCGGGTAATAAAATAAACATCGATCTCACAGACATTTATCTTTGTCTGCCTCTGAAACTTTAAAATTTAAAGCCAGCAGACCAACTCATTGGTTTGATTTATAATAATTACTGTAATTATTGTGTTGTATTCTTCGTTTAGGAGAAACACCCCTTTTCGGGGGTTTTGTGAATCATCTTTTTGGGCTCGTCGTAATTCATAGCTTCAGGAACTTCATTCACTCCAACAGAAGCTATTAAGAGCGAGCAAGACACACCAGACACCAGCACAGAGCAGCGATAATGGATTACTGATGTTATTATGGTTCAATAAGGCCTCTAAACAACATCCTCTGATCCACTGCCAGAACCACAGCGCTGCTTTGAGCGTGTGTATGTGTGCATGTACAATATGCATTTACAGAAAGGGGTTTTATCCTCATGCTGTCACTATATCATCGCAAATGGGAAACCAGAAAAAAAAGGAAAAAAGAAAACAAACAAAAAGAAACAGAATCCCTGTCTCATATTTGTAAGCAGCCACCAACTAATCAAGTTAGAGTATACATCCATGTCTGTCACAGCTTGACCTTTGACCTTTTAGATAAATAGTGTCAGCATTTTATCAAGTTTCCCTGTGAGAACAGGCGTCGGCAAGCTTTTATCACATAAAAGAGCCACTTTTGAGCAGATTTTGACAAGAACACTAAAATACCAAAATAAAAATCCTAACAGACCTGCTGCAGCTAAAGCATACCGACGAGCTTCGTCACAGCGTTGGCAGCGAAAGCAAAGAAAGCTGTCCACACATTTTTAAACTCTCTATTTACCTCTTCAAACCTCTTAGGATTTATTGGAGTTCAAAGTCAGCTGAATTCAGGATGAGCTATTTAAGTAAATACATCTGTGGTAGCTGCTGCTATTGAGGTTCAGAGAACTTAAAAGGCATCAAGTGCCGGATGTGGGCTATGATGCAAATAATAAGTGTGAAAATATAAATATCAAAACCTTTTTTTTGTTTTTGGTTTGTAAACTAAAGAGCTTTACAATTTCAGATTGTAGAGAATTAATGCTAATTACAAATGATCAATATCGACCTTTGTTTATGTCTTTGTTTATCTGTCAGTGCCACACAAAGTCACTGGAGATGGGCCAAAGAGGCGCGTGCATGTTCGAGACCCCTGTTACAGACAGTTTTATGCTACCATGTGATTTGATTTGTGGCCACAAACGCGTTGACATGATCATCATTCAAACCAGTAAGGCTCAAATCCAAGTGGATGTTTGTGCCCTCGTAAAACGAATCCCTGTTGTATCATATACAAAACAATGGGAAAGACGTGAGGTCACAGTGACTCTGACCTTTGAGGACCAAAATGTAATGAGTTCATCTTTGAGTTCGGGTGAACATGTGCACAAAATCTGAAGATGTGCCCCGAAGGTGTTGCTGAGATGATGTGTTCGCACAAACGGAGCGCACGGAAAGACAGATGGATGGACGGACGACATGAAAACATTACTCCTCCGGCAACGGCCATCGTCGGCGCAGACGCATTAACATTACACTGTGTGCGTCTCACAGGAAAACCATGGATGATTTTTTCTTATTAGCCCAGCTGCTTTACAAAGGGAAAAGTGTCACCTTTAAATGCTGACCCAATGATCAATCAGCAAATCAATAAGCCTTGTTCTCCACAGCAGCAGACACAGAACTTAAGCTATCTTAAGCTAACGTGTCTGTTTCATCTGAAGCCAAGTAGAAGCTTCTCACTTCTAAAGCAACTCCTTTATGCGACAAATGACGACTGATTTGATTGGATTATCGGGGCATAATAAGCATTTTATTATTATTTTGTGGGGTAATGTGTGGAAATTTCCAACTTGTGCCACCGACAGCCCTCATCGCACAAAACAAATCACAAGTTTCCACTTTTGAGGGACATGTGCCAATGATGTGACTTCCATCTGAGGGGGAATCTGAAACTTGCACTATTACATTAAACCCATCTCTGCCTAGCAAGGCAATGTTGTTCCCGGCATGCATCTGTTAATTCCTCTGTCTGTTTATTCCTATCTGCCACCCACAGTGTCAGCAGACAGCGCAGTGTGCATGTGTGTGGCAGCCTCTAAATATGACGACGACAACCCCCCACAGGACTGCCGGTTTCTAAACAGGTGCCTGAACCCAAAGTGACTCATATAAACATCCATGCACGCTCAAGCACACTGATCACATACATGACAGAGACAGACACACAGGCAGAAAAGTTTCATGTCTTGTATTTCATCCTACCTGGTTGTTGACATAATCCTGAGTGGATGCATGAAAAGGGAAGAGAAACAAGAAATAGTCACAACAGCAAATTATGCAAACTACGTCTTGTCAAAGTGAAATTAGCACAACATAAGACGTCATTGTATTCTTAATGAACAAAGGCAAGCGCACCACTGTGCAACACATGTCAAAGAACAACAATCCCTTGTGTCAGTCGAGTCTTTGCTGTCCAATATTGCTCCAATTCCATGCACTCCTAAAGTAATTCTCTATATTTCTCATCTGTTTTACTCCTGCTTCTCTGGAGCAGCGCTGCGCTAGCACATCTGAGCAGATAGACTTTACATAATAAAAGGCAGTCACAGAAAAGAATGTGGTGGGATTCGGCGACGCTGAAGGCTAGAAATGTAATTTTAAAAAGTGGAACAATCACCATGAGACCACAGAGGCAGGTAGGGTCGACAGAGGACGCTTTAAACTCTGCATTAAGCCCCGTCGCAATGCTCCGGGGAGCTTTGCACGAGCTGGGAAAAGTGTGCATATGACCTGAGTGTGGAAGTTTGTTTGTGTGTGCGCGCCTTTGTGACTGTGTGTGGCAAAGCGTGGCTTTTAGTGATTAGTTAAAACTGTAACTGACACACTTCTGGCCACAGCGATGCTATCGCAGAGAGGGAAGTTCCTACACGCTCAGCTTTAATACTTTTCCTACACAACTTTGGTTCAACAGACCTTCAGAGAAACGTTGTTTTTCCTAACAAAATTCAGCTGTTATGCACGTTAGACAGCAATGCCTCCGGCATTTGTTTTCTCTGCGGCATTGACAAATAAGTTAAATACCAGAGCAAACTGCGAAACAGTGTTTCCCCATACGCTTTACCATCCCCCTCTAGCTTTATGGTGCTTTTGTTATCTTATTCTTTAATTCATTAAACCAAAACTTTATTGAGAATGAACTGCTCTCTGCACACTGTGAACATCACAAGGATACTTTAAAACTGAAGCTAATGATTATAGTTGGGGTGTCAGCGAGCTTCAGAGAACCAAATGTGTGAAGATCTTTAAAGGACCCTGAAAAAACAGTAGTTGTTTAAACATATAAAACCCAACTAGCCACGTCTGCTCAGTGTAAGCGATCTACTGGAAAGAGGCAAAGAGTACGTTTTGATTGCCTTCCCACTTACACATAAGCAACATGTCAATACTGTAAATGCTGAGGGCGGTTAGCATTAGCCTTTGCTGTTAGTAAAGCTTTTATTCTTACCGTGTTGTAGCTGGCGGGGTCTTGGCCGTCTGTGATCAGTTCCCGCTCTCCCCTGGGGTTGACCCTTCTGAAGCGCCGTCTGGACCGCCGTTGGGAACCCTCCCTCTGCAAGAAGCTGTCGTCCCCCTCGCTGCCGTTATCCACCTGCAATATACAGGGAACACTCTGCTCAGAGCAGAAACTTTGACGGGATTTGCCCCCACAACCTTCAGGTGTCTGGGGGTAGCTGGAAGATTGATCCTCAGCGTATGTGATCTGAGAGCACGGCTCAGAACAGCTACGTTTCAACAGTTCAGACTTCTGGATCTTAGGGAGTGTGTTCAGATTGTTATATTCCACATTCTGGCTGTCAGATTCAGATCTCTGCTTCTTATAACCCAAACTTTGGGTCTTAGATTCTGTGACGCTCTCCAAATCTGAGTTGTGATCCTTGAATGCGTTCCCTTTCTCCCCGCGTGGCTCTGCTTCGGGCCCTAGGGCTTCTGGGATCTGGTCCTGCTCTTCTGCTGGCTCCTGGTTGAACATCCAGTTCTTCCAGAGCGCAGAGAGCCGGTGCCAGCGGAGCACACTCATCTGGACTCAAGAAGGGGACCAGAACAACACATAAAAGCAGGAAATACCACAAGGGGGAGAAGGGAAGAAGAAGAGAAAAAAAACAGCGGGGAAACCCTTTTATACAAAAGATGAATAGAAGTGCAGCGTCCAAAATTTAAGACAAGGTCCAAAATCCTGGGGGATCCCACGACATTTCATCCTCTGGGTCACTCCTCCAGAATAAGAGAGAAAACAAGGCGAGTAAATTAAATGAAGAAACAAACAAATCGACGCCGAGGGCAGAAGAACGAGCGCCGCATCTCCTCCTTTCTCAAACTTGGCGAGAGTAGTCCTCCTCGAGACAGAGTTCATCTGCTCGACATGTTGCATACTGACAGGCTTGCTCACATGGTCGCTCGCTCGCTCTCTGACTCTGTATGACACGCGCACACAGCACACACTGAGCCACCAGTTTCCTCCAGGAAACCGTAAATACACAAATATCCTCATCAGGCAGGAAGAAAAAAAAAAAAGAAAAACAGCAGAGCACACAGATTCCGGCCATACAATTCATTCCCTTTTTGTGCGGGTCTGTTGTTGTAGGAGGAATTTGTTTTCTTTCTTCGTTGCATAATGCTAAGTGAAGTCAACAATCTTATTATCCCAGCAATGAACGGACTTTTTCAATAAATAAATGATGTAACCCAGCTCCTCTGCCTTCATTTTCTTTCCCAAGGCTCTTGGATTTGTTTTTAACTTAGCTTTTTAAACTTTTTTTTTTTAAATTATCTTGTGTTTCAGTATCAGTTTTGTGCTAGTTTCTCTGAGTCTCACACTCTCTGGTTATATAACAATGTCTAAGTCATGGCAGTTCATGAATCAGAGAAAATTATAGTGTTTTCGATTTTTTCCTTGTCAAGATTTGTGTTCATGTGTGGTCCTGCCACGCTAATATTAGCCTGAAGTCACTTCCCGCACCTAAAGATTTAAGATTTAAGTTTTAGCACCCCCTAAAGTGGGCAGCCAGAAGCAAAAGAGACTCAACAGTAGCTTTGTTTACTATGTTTTCATGCACTCAAGCATAAAAAACATTTGTCAGCTGGCAAATACAGTAACATCAATCCATTGCCTTTACTGTGCATGGATAGAGTGCTCAGACCAACAGTCCCCAAACAAAGTCCTAATTCCTGCTTTAGGTTTTGTTGTGACTTTGTCATCCTGTTACCACCATTTTTTTCCCCACTTTATCCTGACTAAATATTATGACACTTTTAAACATGTGTAATGTTTCTTTATCAATAAAAATGGTAAAAGTGTAAGGTGGCGGTTTAACGTGTTTAAGTGTGACCTTCTTTCCCCCCTAATCTTAATATTAATCTTTAATATTTCACTTCCTTATTTGTAACTTTTAACTGAAATCCTCCCCTGCACAATTTTTTCCCCAGGTAGGATTACATAATAATCTCAAGGACTGTTAAGTGCTGCACATGCATATTTGCATGCATCTATTTTCTCCATTCTTGGACTACACGCGACAGACAACCTAGCAAACAACCAAACTAACTTGGCAGTCAACAGTCAAAAAAAAAACAGGAGAACAGGGAGAACACAACAGAAGGATGGATGATTTATCATTTTGTTACTTTAAATTTTAACTTCTATTTGAGCAGTTGTCATGAATTTTCCAACAGCACGCATCATTCATAATAAACGGCACGACGCGCTACACTTCTAGGATGTTAATTTGTCATATTTTAGTAACAAGCGAGAGATTTTGACATTAAACAGTTTGCAAATTTAACTTGATATCTGAGTGTTTCTTCGTTTTAGACGAATCAGTTAATCACATTTTTCATTTTTTTTTAGTTGACTATGAAATCCCTATTTTCAAGCTCATCAGAGCTGTATAGACTCTGCTATTATTTCTATATTTACTAGAAATAATTTATTTCCTTTTAGGTTTACATGTTTCAATAAATAACTGCACTCATTTCTCATTTTGCCAAAGATTTTTGTACAGCCTTGTACGGTATATATGAAAAAAAGATCAAACTGTTCGGGAAGATCCGATAGGAAATGTTTTCTTCAGCCTTTCATCTCGCAATAATGTGTTTACTATCAGAGATTTCACCATAGCGTATGTGCACCACAAATGGCGTCTTTGTTTGTAACCACTGTGTGTGTTTTTTTCCCTCTTCAGGTCAGTCATGTGTCAGTCACTGATACAGTTCTTAATACAGACCCATGATCAGCCGCAAAGAGAGGTGGGGATGACTACAGCTTCTGTGCTGAGAAAAGTAGAAGAGAGTTAAAGAACAGCCTTAAGCGACTGCCGTTTGTGCTGTTAGCCTTCATGTAGTCACATAGAATAAAATCTATGACACCTCAAAACTCTGAAGGGAAACGCCACAGAGCAGTTGGAGTTTTGACAATCTTGTAAAACAATAAGAAAAAACAACTAATATAGAAACAAAGTGAAGCCTGACCCAAAGATTTTCTGTCAATAGAAAAGAGACTCGACAGCTGCTCTGGGTTGTAACACACAGAAGAAAAACCTTGTCTCAGGGAGTTCTGCTCTAATATACCGAGTAAAAACTGGGTTGTGGGTAGTTTAGCTGTCATGGTCTCTAAAACAACTGCGTGAAGGATAGTTCAGCAATAAAATACCAAATAACGGTTGTAAAAGGAGCCTGGATTGGTATCAATGTGCCCCTTCTCACGGTGAAAAATGTCATCTCGCCTCATTTTAATGAGGCTCATGAGACAGACAGCCTGAAGGTTACACACGAAAGATTCTGGAGGGGAAGGTTACACTTTCACATTCATCCTGTGAGCCTGTAACACACATGGCTCTCTGTCTCCTCGACTGATTATAACCCATTCTGTCCCATGACCACCAGTTATGTTTCTGACCGACAGTCACGTCTATATTAAGTTTCCCGCTTCCTCTAAACATTTTAATATGCCTGTGTGACTAACTTCACGTCCACTCATCTCCCGGTTTACATTCCACTCCGTCTATCTGATCACTTGCCTGGCAGCATGCATCATCAGCTATTTTTTTTCGCCGCTTTTTCATTCCTTACTCTCTTTTTCCTGCTGCGTGCTTCTTTTTAATTTCATCTATTCCCCCCAACCAGACACGAACGCACACACAAACAACCCCACCCTGTCAGTCTTTGAATGTCCCTGTCATCCTGTGACCAGAGTCATGACGAAAGCTACAGATTATGTTCCCTCTACTATTCCCATGGTCCTAATTAGCTGATTGGCTACAATGCAGTGTGACTGGACCGCAGTCCCTCTGCCCACTTGTGTAGTTACCCATGTGTGCATAAAAGTGTGTGTTTCGATTAGCATTTCTTGGTATTTTCAATACATAAAAGTGGTTATTCAATAATTCTTTAGTTTTAACTTACTGGGGTCCTTTTGAACAATGCTTTCCAGATATTATTTATCAACCACTCTAAAGATGGTCTTGTTTTTTTATTGCTCTTTGAATTGGCATACAGACATACGTTATTTCTATGAACGCACTGGGCCACCAATAAATTAAACCTATGGTAGCTCTTTAGCCTTTGAAACCCATGTCACGAAGCTCACAGCACACAGTTAATGTCAGAGGAAGGTTGGAACTCTACAGTTATCAAGTGAAATGACCCCACTCTGTGACTTCATGTGGTCTGACACTTCATGGCTGAGTTCATGTGGTTCCGAAAAGCTTCCACTTACAGTTTATCATGGAATATCTAGGAGAGAAGGAATCTGGCATGCTATTAAAGTACCAAGCTCGAATTCAGGGAGCTCATCGATTCACAAATGTTTGTAAAGGCAGACTGCGTGGCTATGCGCTTGACTAAACAAACCTAAATTCAAAGGTTAAGAAGTAAGGCCAGATTCTTTTGTCTATATAGCACACCATAGTTTCCATATTATCATTCAGCCTTGCTTCAGAGTTTCTTTTCCAAGGCAGTGCTGTTTGTAACTTAAAAACAGTCATATACAAAGAAGCAAGAAAACCTGTGTCCTTTCTAAGGTTCTGATAAGCTGGTTCATTTGGTCTCTTTCTAACCCTCACCCACCTCTCTTCACTCCACAGTGAACTGTTTAAGTCAGTGATTTAATTCAAAGGCCAGTTTAATTCAAACCAATTTTATTCCCTCAGCCACAAACTCTTCTTTTCACAATTAAATTGAATTTAAATGTATCTCTCGTGCCCCGGGCAAATGAGTGGACTAAATTCACAGGCTCTTCCTCCCAATGCCGCACTTCATATTCACAAACTATCCCACAATCATACCTGGAAGACTGTCAGTATCGCTGCTCTCTGTTACCATAGCAATCGCCTCTGAATGGGCCCATGGGTGTAGTTTAAGATTAGGCGCCTTGCTGAAAAAGCACCTTACTATTGTCATCTTTTTTTTCACTGCAGAACATTTCCAGGAAAGTTCTGATGTCCCTGAGACTATTGGGGCAGGGTTTCCAAAAGCCACAAAGAACATGTGAGTGCTGAAAGCTTTTTTTGGTCATATGATAATACCCTTCCCACCAATCTTAAAAGAGACGAGGAGATAAGGAGAGCCACTGGGTGAAGCCGAGAAAGGGCAACAATGGGGAAAAAAAAAAAACAAAAATGCCCCATTTGTTCTTTTTTCCTTTTTGCTTATTTTTCTTTTTTTTTATCTCTGCAAAACACAACAGGTACTTTAACTTCTAGATTGTAGTTGCTGAAGGGCTAGTTAGCTAAACTACAGGCTGGCTAAAGCTTTGTTTTGCACCATTATTTAATATACAACATCCACCAGTTTTTACATGTTCCTTCTTTAGAAACACCACACACAATCAAAGCATAGATGTGCGTTAGCATTAGCTTAACTGGCTTGATAATCATTTGCTACTTACTTAAATCAACTGATTTCTAGTCTGAAATAATCCAGTGTGTTCTCTGCACATCCACCACTGTATGGTTTGGATCAAACACCAAAAAGGACAAGAACAGACTAAAATGGACAGACTGCAAAAGAACAAGAGTTCCCAATTGCCCTCTATTCAGTAACTGTAAATCAGGAAATAGACAGGTATCATGACTGCAGACCCATCGCACCGTGGAGATAACCTGTTCCAACTCTGCTACAGAGCACTGTACACCAAAACAACCAGATTATCTGTGGGTTATCTGGAGTTAAATTTATTTAGTTTATTTCTTTATTTCCTATTCAATAGCATCAGTGGAACTAGTGTTACCTGTCCTCTTTTTGTATAAAACTTTGCAGCTTATCTCATCCCATCGTATCCTTCTAGTCCCTCAGACAAAGCTCAGGCAAAAGAGGAAAATGAGAGCAGGAAGAACTATTAGGTAGGAAGAGGACAGAAATTTGTACGCGACCTTGTGGAGGCAAACAAAAACAACATTCT